ATGAGGCAGAAACAAAACATCCAGAATAAATGTCAGCTGCTTACTAAAATTCAGATTAGACGAGAGATTATTTATTTTTATTGTAGGTGTACTAAAAAACATAAACAAACCATCCAGATCTACTAGTTCCTTTTTGAGTCAGCTGTGCTGATGAAGTCTGGGCAGTCAGATTTTTTGCCTCTTTCCCAACACTGTTACTGCTATATGTGACAGAGAATATAACTGATTATTTTGATGACAGATACTCTGGTGTTTCTGTGTATGCGCAAATCGGCATTTGCTGGATCACACACAGCTACATTGTGCCAGATGTGCCCCATTTCCATTCTTCAGAGTCACCCCAGTTTCATCTTAACAAGCCCCATAATTCCTTTGGTGGGGTGTGATTGAGAGAATTTCCACTATATTTTCATATGCCCCCTCTATTTAGGCCTAGGAGGGGCCTTTTTTCAAAACCCCTAGCCACCGGTGCTGATTTGTATGTGTGTGAAGGGGAAAGCATGAGCGAATGCAGGCACAAGAGTGAATGCAGGCACAAAAAGCATGAGCGAATGCAGGCACAAAATTTCCACCCCACGCCCCAACAAAGCAATACTTATGTGGCTTTTTGGTGGATTTTGCCACCTGCTTTATTCAATGTATGCCTGATTCCAACTAATCTTGTAACCTAAGCAGGGACAGGCCTGGTTGACAGGTGGTTTGAAGGAATACAGGCATACAAATTAATATGCCTTATGATAGTGTAGGCCAATAGGTAGCATAATTATTGGATGCTGCTGATTAGGGATGGGATTTTGCTTTCTGGATGTGTTTCTTGCTTCCAGATGTGTGGGGACACGGGAGGTTCCTAGGTTTCCCCTCCTGGCTGCTGATCAGTTGCCGGAGTGTATCAGTGCTGTTTTAGGTAAGAGGTGGCTTTTATGTCACCCACCTTCTGGGCTGTTGTCTTTCCTCCCAGGCATACATGGGGGCATCTTTTTGGCCAGTCAGAATCTGGTTTGGGGTGGTCAGAGCTGCTCCAGCTGCAAAATGTCTGAATCTATATCCTACTGTTTATATGTGTGAAATGTTGGGACAAGGGGAATTTCTGTAGATGTACACTAGATAGCTTTGAACAAGTCTGTAAGTGCAATGTTTTTTTTTATTACAGACTAAAATGAAGAGGAAAGCAGTGGGCATTTGGCACTGTGGCTCATGTATGAAAACAGTGGCTGGTGGTGCCTGGACATACAAGTAAGAGAAAATCGGTGTTGTGCTGGGGGCTGTGTCTGGGAGGGGGGAGGCCCATTTTCGTCAATGATGGGTACTTGCTTTGAGATAAATAGTCAAGCGGGGATAGTCAACTTAATAATGTTCCTGCTCTAATGATGAGCCACAAAAAGAGTTGTTCTTGCCAATCAGTGATATCAGTGAAAAAAAAAAGAGACAGATGATCTAAGAGCATTGGTTTCTTGGCTAACCCTGTTTTTCCTCCCACCAAAAAAAGCTCCTTCAGATATTAGCAACTGGAGATATTCACTAAATGAATTCATAAAGCTTTTGGTTATTTTTTCCACTAATGTGTTGTGTTTTCAGACTTGGTGTAAGATTATCTCTGTGCAGGGTGCAGACTAGATAATAGTGGAAATGCTTTTGTGCATTTACAATAAATCTAAACAGCTATAGTTTTTTTTAAAAAAAAATCACACTGCTTGATAAAACGGATTGCCTCTTTCTTCCCGTTTATTTCTTCTCACTGGTTGGACCTAATCACAGAGACTATATTTTGTGTGTTGTCACTCTGTTCTTGTCCAACTCTTTGGCTGTTTAAAATGAAGTAAAAACCTTCAAAATAATTCGTTTCACTAATAAGCTATAGGAAACATAGAGAAAGTGCAGTGTGCTGGCTTTGGTGTAACATTTTTACTTTTCTTTCCCCCCCCCCCCCCCCTCCAGCACCACTTCAGCAGTGACAGTGAAATCTGCCATTAGAAGACTGAAGGAATTAAAAGACCAGTAAAAGCATATTTTTGTTCCAGTACTGTTTGTCTTATTCCATTGTCTCAATGCATGCACTCTTTCACCAATTAAAGGTGTTTGTAAAGCTACATCCTGGTCATTTGTTATGTGGGTAGTCTCTTTAGGCAATGTATCTTTGAACACAGTTTGCAGGCCAAGTGCTGTAAATGTGCTGCTCATAAGTACGTTTATGCCATTCCTGAATCACTTCAAACAACAAAAAAGAATGCACTAGATCCATTTCCCAAGGAGATGTAGTAATAAACTGTGTTGAACAAAATTCACAGAATGAAGTACTGTGAAGACCTGATTTATACAAGAGACTTAAGCACATTCATTACCTGTTGCAATTATTTATGCTCAACTGACCAAACCTTTGATCTTTCCCTTTCCTCATTTGGGCCCTCAGCTAGCATTCATGCACCTTTTGTTTCTTTGGGATTTTAGACTCTAGAGATGCTAGTCCTGTAGAGAATAGTAGATTCAGATTTCAGATCCTTTTACAATTTTGGACAGACAAGACCACAGAAAAGTTAACATTTTATGAGTTCTGTTGCTTGGAAACAATTTTTAATAGGGAGGTTCACTAAGAAAAACTAGTATTAAAATAATTGAGTTGCACCTATGAGACCAACTGTTCTGTTCTGGCATAAGCTATTGTAGACTCCATTTTTTTCACTGCATGAAAAGAATGCAAATAGAAATAGGGAAGGAGGTAAAGGTGATTCCAAAATCTGAACTTGACCACACAGGTAGCTGATGTAGGAACATTTCTGCTTTTTGATGTTTGGATGTATACAAACTTTGTTCCATGCACAAAGTTATTTAAAATGTGGCTTTCATGTTTAGAATTGGGTGCAATTTCAAGGATATCTCATTATGAACATTAATGCAGTTTAGTACAGATATTCCAAATCTGGAAAAGTCCCAAATCCAACCAACCCCCCACCCCCACCCCATCCCAAGTATTTTGAATATGGGATATTTGACATGTAATTAGCTAGTTAGCCTGATAGATGCTACTGGGTTCCTTTATGCCTTAAAGTGGGCTCAAAATATCAATTGCATTGTGTTTTAGCAAGTAGTTTAGGGCTTCCTTAGCAGTGAGACCTCACAATTGTAGATCAGCTGGGTGGCAGGGAAATGCTCTGTAAACCCTCCTTCAGCATGGATGAGACAATGTGTGTTGGCCATCACAAAGTGCACCACACCAATTCAGATAACCCATAAAAACACAATTGTGCCCCATTACCTCCATTTCTGTCAGCCATCAATTGACCACCTTTCCCCTCATTTTCTGTGCTCTGGATGAGACGATTAACTCACATTTGTTTCTACCCCACAAATTTCTGCCCTATGGTAATGCGGGCTACAGTTTGGATAAAATGCATCCAGACCTCTCCTGCATGTCCTGTTAATTGGCAGCGAAATGAAAATGTATTTTGGGAATGCCGAGTTCAGATTCCATCAGTTTGTTGGATTGTAGTGAAACTCGAGCTTCAGTTCTGCAAGTGGCCTCATGTGGGAGCTGCAGCTCTACCAATTCCAGCTACTCTTCCTTCTAGTTAATTTGGTTTTCCTGCATATCACAGTTGCGGTACCTCTGCATTCAGCTGTGTTTCTGTACCTACACAGCACATGATGGCAAGGGAGTTTTCTTCACAAAGATGAAAAGGCAACTAAGTGGAAAGGTGTATCTATATTTTTCAGAGAGGTTTAACATTGTGATTTATATGCTGGTACATTTTAATTAACAAGCTGCTTTTCTCTTGCAAGTCATACAGTGAAATTCATCTAGCATGAATTCTGTTCCAGTCCTTTTGTTTGCCTTTCTGATGCAATTTCAAATGCATGAACTGAACCCTATACATGCTGCTTTCCTTTTTGGTAATAAATGGCTGTACTGGGGCTAGAGATTTACTTTCCTGCTCAGGCGGTACATTTTGGGTCCATCCATATAACTATACAGTAGTTCACCTTTAAGTGACATGGCTGCATCCTATGAAATCCTGGCAATTGTAATTTGGAGAGACGTTAGAGGAGCTGTGCCTGAGGAGTCTTAAATCCCCAAACCACCATTTATAGGCTCCGTAGGATGCAGCCATGGAAGTTAAAGTGGAATCATAGGGCCCTTTCATAAACAAAAGAACATCCACTGTTTTCTTCCAATGGAAATGTACTTCATGAAGTAGATATTCTTAGCCTTTTTCCTGTTACTTTGAAAACTGTTCCAACAGCATTTTTCAGGAGAAATGGTCCATAGCTTTTAGTTGGTTCTCCAACAGTAAGTATTGTAATAACTACCCCTGTCCATTCTGTTTCTTAAGAGAAGAAATGTAAAAATTGCACAAACAGCATAGCAGGCCTCTTAGTATTTGCACTAGTGTCTCAAAACCTGGAAGCAAAGATTCTACATAAAAAACAACTTTAGAAGATTAACAATAAGCATTGAGAACCAGCATGGTTTGAGCACTATACTATGTCTTTGAACATCGGGGTTTAATGTCCTGCTTAGTCATGGAAACCCACTGACCTTGAGCAAGTCACATACTCTCGGGGCAAAGAAAACCTTACGGTTGTCATAAATTAGAATGATCTGAAGATGCACAACAAAGGTAAGCAGTGACATGCTCCCACAAATTAAGAAGCAGGATTCTGCAGAGATTTAGGCCCTTTCCACAATACCATATAATCTAGATTATCAAAGCAAATAATCCGCATCTGCTTTGAACTGGATTATATGTCTACACTGCCATATAATCCAGTTCAAAGCAGATAATTTGGATTTTATATAGCAGTGTAGCAAGAGCCTTAATGCCCTCCAAGCACAGTACCAACACTGCAATAAGAAATCCTGCAGTTCTGAGCAAAGGAGGAGAATCAACAATGATGGATATCCAGCAGGGTCTATTGAGACAACTTTAAGACAAAAACAAAGATTGGAGAATTATACTGTTATGGTCAGTTACACATCTTTGATTACGCCAAGAGTTGAAGCACACTTTTGTTTGGCATCCCATTTAATTTATTTGAGCTTTCTCATAGTTCAGCAATCAAAAACAGAATAGAGAACAAAAATAGTTGTGACTTCTAAACAGGACTACAAATTGTGAGCTGATGCTTGCAGTATCTGTATGGAAAGCAGTCCAATTAATCTTTGATGGATATCAACAGAAAAGAGATAGCACCAATTTATTAAAAAATCAATGACAAGATGTTGGGACTATAAATTTTGAATGCCTCCAAAAGGGGAAAGAAAACACCCCAGCAGCATTGATTTAATGGTCCTAAAACTTGCAAAAGAGTCTACAGCTAAAGCTGCAACTTTGCAGGTCAGAGGACATGTCCCATCAAGGCACTAATACTAGTGTTCTCCTTGGATGCTGAATAGATTGGAAACAGACAGTAAGTAACATTGAGTATATCCCACACTCACCCACCTGTTTTGCTGGGTTGAGGATGGGGGATGGGTTTCCAACATTAAGGCAAGTTTCTGTTAGAGAAAATAGGGAATGGATTTGGGATATGCCAAAACAATTGGGGTAAAATATTGCCATGCATGGCAAAGGCAGTTAGGGAGTTGCATCACCAACTGGGCAGTGAGAGAACCCTCATTACATTCAGAAATTATCGCAGCAGGTTAGATGACCATCTCTTATCCAAAAAGGGGAGAATGCTCTTCATGAGGATTTTGGGATTGTTGGCCATCCCTTTATCTCCTTTGCTCTTTTCTACCCTTCATAGAGAATGGATCTGTCTTCCTACAATGTTTCCAGCTTTTCTTTTGGGGTATAACCCAACAGTGGTAATTTGCACTGGCCAATTTATTAACACTTATATTTTGCTCTAACTTTTACTCCCTTTTAAACAGCTTATCTCTGCTTTGTGCCTCCTCAAAATAAAATATATCAGAGCAAAAATTAAGCTATTCCTCTTGGAACAAGTCAACACATATTTTGGATATGGTCTGGCAAAAGCTCGAGGCAATTAATTAACCATATCATTTTCACAAAGGGAAGAAAGATAACCATGGATGATATCCCTAGCCACAGAAGGGGTTTATCTTAGAAGATGGTAGCTGACAAGAAAAAAACCTCCTCCAGCAACTAGTGATACCAAGGGCTCCCAGAAGAAGAAGAAAACCCACAAATTCTCTACCTGCTGAACACTGACAAGTTCTACTGAAAAGGAGGAAATGTTGGGTTGCTTTTCCCCCTCTTACAATATATATATTTTGAAAACCCACCACCCAACCTCCAACTATTAAGCCAAGTAAATGAACCTAGCAATTGTCCTGTAAATATAAATTGGTATATATAATACAAGAAAACCTCATAGTCAATGTAGCTCCTAAGTCAATTTTCAATACCTGCACGATCCACACAGAAACAAAATCAAGAGTGTGTGTGAAACAGCATCAGAGAAACCTGATCCTCTCTTGTGAACGAGATAAAGGTCACTGTTGCTTCTCTGGTCCACACATATTATTTATGAACCTACATGTGTGTTTGTATATGCGAGTGTGTGTGTGTGTGTGTGTGTGTGTGTGTGTGTATTATATGTCTGGATTCACTTCAGGGGCTTTACAAAGCACTATATATGACTTTCAAAAAACATAGGCATTGCTCACCTGGGTCATCTGCACCAGGAGGGCAAGACATTGGCTGCAGCTTTACACATGGGTTTTATATGGGTTTTTGCTTCTTTGGGGAGCGTTAAATGCAAATTGGGGTCATTCTTCTGAAATCTGACTCTTCTCCCACTTGATTTTAAAAGAAACTTTTCAATATAGAAAAGAGTAGCATTAATTTTTTTTGCTTATTACCAGTACAGTTCAGGACCTGGCCTATTAAAGGGTAAATGTAAGGCTCTACAACATGGCTTGAGTTATTCCATTTGTAATGGATTAAGTTCTCTCTAGGGTTGTAAGGACTTACTGATGGGGTGGGGAGCTGTACCTCCATGGACCTTAAGTGCAATGCCTTATGGAAGAAGAAGGTGACAAGGTCTAGCTCCCTCTACAAACCCCCTTCATGACTTTCAAGAAGCAAAGTAGCATTCCTATTGAAGAGGTTCTGAGCAGTGTTTCTCCCAACCCCTCAGGGATGCTACAAGTCACCTAATGACGAAATGGGACCAGCAGGAAGAGGTTGGTCAGGTTGTTCTGAGTAGCAGGCAATATATGCAGTATTTACAATCTTTGGTCTTTGGTGTATGTGGGGTGGGAGTTGGGGTAATATTCTCTCATCCAGCCTGATGGAAGCTTGAGCACCTTGGTTCTTTGGAGAGACCTGGGTGAAAAAGGTGAGTAGTCCCCTCTCACAAGACACCACCAGCCCTGCTACTATCAAGGCTGTATCCAACCCAAGAGAGGCAATGGCTCTCAGAAAAAAAGTTGAGAAACCACTCCCTCCATCCTCAGCCTATTTGCAGTTCTTCCACAAAAAAGACAAGCAAGAGAGAAGCTTTGTGGACCCGCAAAGAACTGGGAACCACTGGAAAGAAAAGGAAAAATAATAATAAAATAAATCAAGATGCATTGAAACCCATGTAAAAACCAGCACTGAAACTAGGCCATGCTGCCTGCCAGTGAGTGAAAAGGTGTCCATCTATTGCACATGCAAGCCATGTGCTCCTCGATCCTCTTGTTCATGGCCAGTGTAGAAAAGATGGCATTCAGGATCTCCACGGATGATAGGTGCTCCTTGGATGGTTTTTCCAGTATTTGGATTAACACACCAGCATTCCCCTCGTTGGCCATTCACTGACATTTTGCACTAAACATAGAGAAGGAAACACAAAAAGTAGTTTAAAACATGTCCTACACAACAAGACACACAAAACAGAGACTTTACTTTCCGACCAATGTATGTGATACTACTCAGTCAAGGTGCCTGCTAGTTTGTGGAAAGCTACACTCAGAGCTTTCGATCAGCCTGTAGCTTACAATGAGACCAAAACCCTAGACTCATAGAAGTTTGAGGAACCTCAAGAGTGCAACCTTCTGCCATGCATGGAGACACAACTGAGGCCTTCCTAAAAGTTGCCTATCCAACCTGTTTAAAGATCTCCAAAGGATCTCCACCTTCTGAATTTGTTCATTTCAATTTTGAACAGCTCTTACTGTCAGGACATTCTTCTTAATCTTTAGGTGATTTGAATCCATCACATCATAGTCTTTGGAGGAGCAGAAAACAAACATGCTCCATCTTCTCATATCACTTTTCAATGTTATCTAAGCTAAACATAACCCACTCCCTAAATTGAATCTCTCATGGCTTTAAACACTTTGTTTCTGAAATGAGATAAACCCTGTTTTGGGAGGCTGGGACAATTAGAGATGAAACTCCACAGACCTCAACCTGCACACCAAAGATCCAGGAATCTCCCTCTCCCCCAAGCTGAGAAACAAAGCCCCAATGGTCTCCAATTTATGAAGAGAGATAGTTAGGAGACACTCCTTTTCTCACTGTGAATGAGTACTTCTATTGTGGCCTAGTATCCAGAGGTTCTTGATATCAGTAGTGGAAAGTTGGATGCCATCCATAGCATATGATTCTAGAAGTGTGACCATGTAGTGTAACATCACCAGCTAATGAGCCAGGTAAAGAGTTTATCCAGCTGATACTTCAGCCAAGAGGTGGGGTATCTCTTTCCATTGGACAAAAAGAGGAGAGGAGAGAGGAACAGGTCTGAAACAAAATATACTCAGCCAGGAATACTCTCAACCCTTCCGGGGACCCACACAGGCTGTGCAGGATTGTTTCAGTTGGCTTCCAGAGAAAATCACTAGCCAATGCAACACCATTAGATAAGTGGCTGAAAATCCTATTTTATGCCAAAGGAATGGAGATTCACTTGCACCCATGGATTCCCTACAATCAAAGAAAATTTTAAGAAAGTCCCAATACTCTGATTAGTGTTGACTATCCTGGCTTTTGAAGAAGCAAGTAATAATCACAGCCATCAGCCTCACACCGTCTCTACAAAGGTCTGCACAATTTGTGTTTGCCTTGATTACTAATCCGAACCATTGGCTATTTACTTATCTGAATCATTGGCTATTTATTTATTATTTACTTATTTCACATATTTGGGTCCCGTTCTTCTCACCCCTGGAGGGAGACTTAGGGCAGCTATGCTTATGTTTGTTATCCATTTTCAGCACAGAAGTCCACACTGAGTACACTACTGCCTGAAGTTTTGAGCTGATCTAAAAGAAATCTGTATGTTGATACAGGAGAAGGTTGTGTTGATGTGCAAGCTCCAAGAAGCCCTGCTAAATGCCCTCAGGGATGATTCTGTTGAAGGGGGATTAAGTCACAGCTGTGGGGTGCGGGCCTTCCAAGGTAATTAGAACCTTAGGGGAATGAAGGATTGCCTCTTTCATCCCCAAAGAAAGAAAGACAGCATCAAAGCAGCCACACCCTCCATTTATGTTCACACCCAATATGTCCAGCACAGTAATCTCCAAGAAAAAAGAGTGGGGGGCATGCCAGCTGGCCTTCAGACTGGGAGAGGAAAGAGCAAAGAAACGTTGCCTTGCCAAGAAAATCTAGAGAATGGCAGGTCCTTGCCTCTTAGTAGGAGGGTGCGGACAAAGAAAGGACTTTTGGCTTCCATGATCTTTGCTTGCCTTTAGACTTTACTGCTTGAGATTTGGTGCCTTACAGGTGTTTAGGCTCAGATTGTTAATCTGTATTTAGCTACAAAATATTTCCATACTTCCTTGATTCTTTTTTGAAATGCCTCAGAATGGCTCAAAGGGATGCAAAGTTGGGTTCAAGCACAGAGGTGACAGCACAACGAAGCTCTTAAGAAAACAGGTGTTTGGACTTCAACTCCCCGAAATCCCAGACAGCTTACCAACTGTTAGTAATTGTAGAAGTTGAAGTCCAAAACATCTGGAGGGCTGAAGTTTGCCCATACCTGTTCTAGAGAATATTCTGGTGATTTTTAAAAAGATTACCCTTTCCCTCTTCATAACCCCCTACCAAAGCAGAAAAGCAGCAGAGCAGATAACCAACCCAAAGACCTTTTGACCTAATTCTAGGAGGATCTTCACAAAAAATGCCTAACAGGAATACTGCACTGATCCATGCCAACCCATTTAATTTTTTAGATCCACTGGAACCACAACTAGCTGAACCACCCCATCCATCTGGGTCAATTGTCTGAAATTATAGTTTTCTGAAGACGCCCCTAAACCTTCCCTTGACTTGCCTGTTTGATGTTATAAAAACCTTGCTTGTCGCAGTTTGGGATATTCAGGGAGTAGAGGTGCTCTAATGGACCACGCTCATCTGGTAGGCGCATGGTTGAGATACGTTCCAAGACCTGGTCCAATTCCTGCTGGCAAGGGGTCTGTAAAAAGCAAAGAAAGCACAAGGCAGAAAGGAAAAGAAAATCAGTTGTTGGGATTCCAGTCAAACTAAGAGATGACAATCACCTTCACCCACACACCTAGACTAAGACATCCATTGGAACACAACATGAAGGCAAGTTGTTCATCTTGCTTCACACTGCCTCTCAGACTTGGGCCTTCTTATAGTCTTGGGTCCTCAGGCAGCTCTTACAGACAGGAAGTTCTTCCTAATGTTCAGTGGCATCTCACTGCAGTAATTTGAACTCATTGCTCCAAGTCTTGGTTCCCAGGGCAGCAGAAAACAAGCCTGCTCCCCTTTCCTTATGACATCCTTTCACATATTTATACAGGCTGTCACACCTCCTATCAATCTTCTCTTCTGCCAGCTAAACATACACAGCTCTTAAGATGCTCCTCATAGGACATGTTCCCTAAACGTTTGATCATTTTAGTCACTCTCCTCTGGGCACCTTCCAACTTGTCAGTATCTCTTTTGAACTGTGGTGCCCAGAATTGGACAAAGTATTCTAGGTGAGGTCTAACCAAAGCAGAATAGAGAAGCACCATGACTTCCCTCAATGTAGACACTATACTCCTTTTGATGCAACCCAAAATCCCATAGGCTTTTAAGCTATTGCATCACACACATGTAATGTCTTATTTCTTTGAACATTTTTTTGCCGATTGCTTGAGAATGAAAAGGCATGAGTTCATTTCATTTGTAGTTGTGCTACCTCAAGATCACTAAACATGCTTTTTAAATGAAGTATCAAAGAGTTATGATGCAACATGGTTAACAAGTACATGTTCATACAGCTGACTACACATGACATGATTTGATTAATGGATATGAAAAGAAAACTGGATGTTATCTTTCAAACACTGTTTTAGATTGAGCTGGAAACTGCTCAACTACAGTTTGCAAATATTTAGGACTGCTTTGGGACTTTTTCAGCTATTTTCTAGCTATATTTAAACTCAGAGGGCTTTTTTTTTTTTGCATGTTTCTTCCTCTGCAATATTGCTACAGTACTTGGTATTCCTTAGTGGCCTCCCCTTCAAGTACTAAGACTGACCCTGCTTAGCTTCTAAGCTCATGTAAAGGCACACATGTGCATGCATAGCCTTTTTCGATTCCTAGCTTATACTACACTATAGTATTGTTATCACATCATTGAGCATGTCCAAAACCAGTGTTTTAACTGATTACGGATGTTTAATACTGCTATGGTGTGATTTATTGCATTTCATGTTTACTACCACTGAGAAAGAAATGAAAATCCCATTCTCATCACTGAAGCCAGTTTGTCATGCATATGAAAAGAAATGAAAGCCCATTCTCATCATTGAAACTAGTTTGTCATGCATATGAGACTCCTCCACTGCTGTGGCTCTGTTGGGCCTGTTATACATGTTACAACTTTCTTAGATGAAGAGATACTCCCACAGTTAAAGTGTTTAAAATTACTCAGGATATAGAATGTCACCTCCATGCTGCATGTCTACCAGACCAGGAAACACAATGTAATGGCTGAGCTCTATGTGGCACATATGGTTTAAAAGACCACCACTGCAGTTATGACCCAACCTTAACATCAAAGTCCTGCCCATGAAGACGCAGAAGCAAGGTCAATATATTCAATGGGTCTCCCTCCATAGTAAATATATTTTAACTCCCAACAGATTTATGCAATCCTTAGTAGAGTTCTGCTTTGTTGAATCAGTGGGACTCTGACTCTTCTAAGAGATACCACTGCATTGATGTTTTGGGTGGATGGCTGATGGTATTCACGTAGAAGAGATTCCACAACATCTCTTAAGCTACGTGTCTTATCTGATTTGGTCACTAGCATTTCTCTTTTCTATCTGCCCACTCTCTCTCTCCCTTCCCACAATTTTTATGAACACAAAGGCCACCCACATACAGTTAGCTTGCCAAATCCCTAATACACACGCACACACAGAGCCTACAACAGCTTTGGAGAGGCTCTCAAAACCAATTTTGACACGCCAGTCCACCAGTTTCTGTCCAAGAAAGCATCCTTTCAGCCACTCAGACTCAGTTTGGAATCAAGCCAGTCAGGGGAGAATGAAGCCAACTAGACCAATGTGAGTGTGGCAACAAAAAGAAGAGAGAGAAGAGGGGGAAATCCCATGTAGCAGCAGTAATAGCAGCATAGCTCCATGGAGGGTGGGGGGAGGATCCTAGAGGAATGGCTGTAGGAGCAGCAGAGATGGCTAGTCACTACCAGTTATGGCTGACTTGGCTGGTATGGGAGGAAGGGAAGGAGAGAAGAAGGCCACATGACAAAAGAGAAAATATATTGTGAGGAATTATCTCTGCACTCTGGATGATGACACCAAGTGCAATCCCAACTGACAAATCTGTGTCAAAGCTCTCCTCCTAGTTCCTGTCAAAATCATTCAATCTCATTCAGAGAATCTTCTTCCCTAGTCCTTTTCCATTACATCATGCATTCTTATGATTCTGACACAAGCATCAGCATAATATACAATAGGAGTGTATATAATATTAATACTTTTATCTTACAATATGTATTTATTTTCTTCATCTAATAAACCCCCACTGATCCATGTGGGGGTTCATTAAATGAAGAAAATAAATAAATAAGCCATGGTTTCACTTACTCACACATGCGGGAAAATAGTCTCTCCATGCAATTTTCTCAGTCTTCCAGGCAATTCTATGTTTTTCCTGGAATGTACCAAAGAGTTAAATTGGAGGATATCAAATTTCTAGGTCCTCCAACAAAACTCTATGGTAGGCTGAGACAAGAAGTGAGATAATTGAACAATTTATGGTTGTATCCATGATGTAACTGTGCTCTGGCTGGGAACATATCCCTTACAGGTATGGGGGTCCTAACTGTACATCTCATTTATCAACATTGTTGCAGAAACACAACTATGCTACTGGATATTTATGCTATGCTGAAGTGATGTAGGATCTTCATCAAAGTGTGCTTCCAGATGGACAGCTCCTAGTGCTGCTCACCGAAAAGGATTTCTGCACAACAAAATCTTGCAAACGTTTAAACAAATTAATAAAAATAAGGCTAGATAAAACATAGAAGATTTTTTTTGTTAACACATATACAATTAAGAGCAATTTAAAACACAACCATTGGAATTCAAGAAATAAAAGTAGGAAAGCAGACTATTAAAGTCTAAACATTCAAATGTCTTTTGGAATAAAAAAAGTCTTGACAAAATGAGAGCAAGGAGGGAGCCAGCTTAGCCTTTCTAGGAAGTGAGTTATGGTGAGTGGGAGCAAACATCAAGAAGGCCAACTCCAGAGTCAAGATCTCAACACCCAGACAGACTCATGTGGGAAAATGTGGTCCTTCCGAGAGCCTGGCCCCAAGCCACACAGAGGCCATAACCAGCACTTTGAGTTGTGCCTTGAAACAGAAAGTAATCAGTAGAGTCACTGTAATAATGGAGCCAAAATGGATTCTGGTTTCATTCACAAGAGAACTTGAATATTATTAAAGCCATGTCAAACATTGTAAATTTCCATAACATGGCTACTTTAAAAAAGAAATGGCCACACACAACCACCTATTTGAGCACTCCCCTCCTCAGACTTATTGGTGTGAACCACTATGACTATACTTGTGACCGGAAGACAATTTGGACCTTTAAATATGCAACTCAAATCATAACACTCTTTAGTTCTCACAAACTGTAGGTGATACGTTTAACTGGTTATTTGGTTTCAGACTGCAGGTTTTTGTTGTTGTTGTGTCAGGAGCAACTTCAAAAACTGCAAGTCTCTTCTGGTGTGAGAGAATTGGCTGTCTGCAAAGACGTTGCCCAGGGGACACCCGGATGTTTTTGATGTTTTATTATCCTTATGGGAGGCTTCTCTCATGACCCCACATGAGGAGCTGGAGCTGATAGAGCGAGCTCATCTGCGCTCTCCTGGGATTTGAACCTGCGACCTGTTGGTTTTCAGTCCTGCCAGCACAAGGGTTTAACCCACTGTGCCACAAGGTTAAACTGCAGGTGTGTGTGTGGGGGGGTGGGGGGGTATGTATGTGTGTATCAGGGAGAGATTTCTAGATTTCTTTTAAATAACCTGCACACTGAAAAAGACATATTTTAGAAGGAAGGGCTAGGTTGAGTTACAAGCCATGTAGAACATTCTCCTCAAGAGATGTAAGAAAGTGGTAAAAGGAAGATCAGGAGCATCAGACACAAGTAGCTAAGTGGGCAAGGAATGTTACAGTAACTTTTGCGAGCAAGGACTTTATGACAAGCAACAAATGTATGGCCTTAGTTCATATATTAGTTTCCTTCTACTATGTACTTAATCTTTCTCATTGATTAATTAATTCATTCATTTTCCCCATTTCGCAAATATATTCCCAGAAGAACAAGGCCTGAATACCAAAAACCTCAGAAATGAAGCATGGAGGATAAAAGAAAGGTCTTCAGGTCTCCTGTTTAAAACATTATTTCAGGTTGCTAACAGACTGGGACAGGGATAAAATTTTAAGGAAAGTTCCTGCCAAGTGGTGGTCCTAGTGCAACACCCATACACTGTGTTGAGCAGTGTTTCTTAATCTTTTGGATGGGGGGGGGGGCAGCAATTATTTTTCCTAGTGTGCAAAGAAATGGTACCATATTGGTACTAATTGGCTGCAACCTTTTCTTGTAAACTCATAGTGGACTGGCAGTTGATAATTTGCGGACCAGCACTGATCCATGGACCATCATTGTGAGCCGCATGGTTGTGCAGCAGCTGTTGGAGAAGAACCAAAAGAGATACTTGGGGACAGCTTACTATTTAACACATTCAGTCTTCCATCAACTCACCCTGAAAGTCGGTGGGCGTAGCTCCATGAGATGGTGATGCTTAGTAGTCTTGCCCATCTGCTTTTGTTGTTCATTTACCCTGTCACGAATTACAGCAATTTCCTTGCCATTTTTAGGGGGCTTTATCCATCCACTCACCACACTGGTCACACCATCCACAACATTCTCTGCAATAGATCCTTCAGGGTGTTCCTCGGTTTCTACATGGGCAAGAAAGGAGAAGGAAGGAAGCTATTAGTTGTGTGGGTGACAACCTGCAGTTGTTTTGTACATATGTTTTCAATGACATGAAGAGAATAATAATATAATAATAATAAACTTTATTTATCCCCCACCACCATCTCCCCGAATGAACTCAGGGTAGCTAACATGACGCCAAGCCCAAATAATTACAGTAAAGCAAAATGAAATACATACAACAGACAATAACATCAAATAAAATGCTAAACAATAACGAAGTAATACAATAAAATAATAAGAATAACATGATAGCACAAGATATAAAATGATAAAAGAATGAAATGAAGTGGGTTGGGCCAAATGCAGAGGATAAAAGTTTATAAAGTTTCACAGGCTACTTTGGGGCCCATAAATTCCAGTTAAATCACATATAAGGAAAATACCAGCAATGCAAGATGTGAAAAGTTATCTTGGCATGTGGGCAAAATAAGGAGTGGGAATCACTTTTGTTTCCAGAAGACAACCTCCCCCTCACTCCTTAGTAAGTTTCATTTTTTCAGTGCTTGATTGCACAAATTATCTAACTATTAGTTTATTAATCTTAGATCAGAACCCATATATGTCTGAACCACAGGTAACGATTTGGCTAAATGTGCAGAACATAATTCCCATTTGTAGTATGAAGAAAGAGAAAAGTACTTCAAAAAAGAAAAAAACCCTGAGTGTAATAATTTATAGGAGCCTCCGGTGATGTCTAGATCTAGGGAAGTAATGCTACCCCTCTATTCCGCTTTGGTTAGACCACACCTGGAATATTGTGTCCAATTCTGGGCACCACAATTGAAGAGAGATGTTGACAAGCTGGAATGTGTCCAGAGGAGGGCGACTAAAATGATCAAAGGTCTGGAGAACAAGCCCTATGAGGAGCTGGGCATGTTTAGCCTGAAGGAGAGAAGACTGAGAGGAGATATGATAGTCATGTATAAATATGTGAGAGGAAGCCACAGGGAGGAGGGAGCAAGCTTGTTTTCTGCTTCCTTGGAGACTAGGATGCGGAACAATGGCTTCAAACTACAAGAGACGAGATTCCATCTGAACAAGAGGAAGAACTTCCTGACTGTGAGAGCTGTTCAGCAGTGGAACTCTCTGCCCCGGAGTGTGGTGGAGGCTCCTTCTTTGGAAGCTTTTAAACAGAGGCTGGATGGCCATCTGTCAGGGGTGATTTGAATGCAATATTCCTGCTTCTTGGCAGGGGGTTGGACTGGATGGCCCATGAGGTCTCTTCCAACTCTTTGATTCTATGGTTCTATGATGCAATGTGTTAAACCCTTGTGCCAGCAGGACTGAAGACCAACAGGTCACAGGTTTGAATCTAGGAAGTGCGTGGATGAGCTTCCTCTCTCAGCTCCAGCTCTCCATGTGGGGACATGAGAGAAGCCTCCCACAAGGATGGTAAAACACCAAATGTCCAGGGCAACGTTGTTGCAGACGGCGAATTCCCTCATACCAGAAGTGACTTGAAGTTTTCAAGTCGTTCCTGTCATGAAAAAAGTGTAATAAAACCACTTCTGTGTTATTTGCAAACAGTGTAATTATCTCAAGCATTCTGCAACCAAAATCAATTGTACAAAGTCTGTTGATTTTTAAAATATCAGACATGGCCTAATGTAATCCCCCCCCCCCAAAAAAACCCCCTAATTCTACTTCCAAGAGCTGTTCAAATCCAAAGTTCGACACATGAAGGATGAGGGTAACTTTGGGTGAGCTCATCAGTTGCAAAATCATCAGAAAGGTCAGAAAAAGAAAAGATCAGAACTGAGGTGAACGCAATAGAAATGGGTTTACTTTGCAGGATTTTGTTCAGCAATTCATGCAAAAGCTGCCATTATTTTTGAATTGCTTCCCACTCACATCATCTGTGCATGAATGAATCCAACCAGGCCAAAAGTATGACATCACGTTAACATCTTCTGTGCATGATCCTGATTGCATATGGCTGCTCATGGGACTAATTCAGAATGGCAAAGGAAGAAGGCATGGGAAGGGCACTAAAACCAGGCCATTTTTACAATCCGAGTCTTTTTCAGAAGTCATTGTGAGGTTCTGAAATAGATTTAACTTTGAGCTGTTAAAAAGGCAAGAGACCACCCAGCAAACTTTGGCACTGAGGTCTGGCTGCAGCAGAAGTCAATGGAATTTGGACTGGTACCTGTTTGGATGTGGCTGACTGCAGACCAGACCTTTTACAAGCTACCTCTCTGACTTTATATAGAGACAGGAGTACAATTGGGTGCCAATGTCTGACATTGCTCAGTCCAATGGCTAGTGCACAACAGGGCATTGGCATGCCAAATATCCAGTGACAGAGGTTTACTATGCTGTGGCAGAGTCTCTCACTATCCTTTTAGCCCAGGGTGTCAAACTCATTTTTACCAAGGGCCACACCAGTCTTATGGTTGCCTTCAAAGGGCCATTTGTAATTATAAGACTGTATAAATGTAACTATGTTGCCCTGGCATTGAACGCCTCATCGGCCACATAAAAGAATGTGGTGGGTGGATTCAGCTCCTGGGCCTTGAATTTGACACATGTGTTGTGTTCTAGCCTATAGGACTTGAATATGGAATAGGCACTTTTCTCTGGACTATAATTCCCAGAACCACTCAGCCAGCATGGTCAAATGCCAACACACAATGATAACAGCACAGGAGGTTTTGCAAGCAGTGCAGAGTTAATTAGTCCTGTAGTTTCCCCAAAAGTATGTATTAATTTAAATGTTTAAATTGCTTGGCCTTCTGTCTTAAGATCAAATGTAGTATTGAAAACATCTCATGGCAATATACAATCGTTGCATGCCCATTTAAAACACAGCAACAAAGGAAACACACTGCTTATCCAGTTCAAATCCTCTCTGGCAGCAACCAAGGTCCTTTGTGAAAGACCTATCCATTATATATATATATATATATATCTGCCAACAGAAACACAGCACTGTCCCATCAAAATGGCTGAGGGTGGCAAGACCTAGAGAAAGGCTCTCCACGAAAACCTCAGGAAGTCTGTAAGGAAATCCCATCCAGAGAGCTCACACTTCCTTTTCTCCTGATACAAGACCTAAGATGGCTTAAAACAAATTAAGACTAAATACAGCTAAAACCAATTGAAAAAATTATCCTAACTGAAAACACAATTTTATGAAAACACTAAATGGAAACAGTGAAAAAGCCCATAGAAACATAGCATGAAGGCTCAAAGTACAACACACTCAAAAGGCCCGAAATTAAAATGGTTAAGTTTCCTAACAAAAAAGAAGAGTACAGTCATTTCTCCACATCTGTGTATATGATTTGGTTAGTTGTGGATTGCTCTATTTGCCCCACCTCTGCTGCTGCCCTACAAGTGACTGGGGGGGGGGGGGCAGGACTCTATCTAGATGTTTTCTAGTGTGAATCTACAGAAAAAAATGTAGTTTTCCCACTTTTTTGAGAATTTTGTGTCTCTAACCTAGAGCTTTCCAAACTGTGTGTTGCAACACACTGATGTGTCAGCTTCATTGTGTAGTCTATGTGAAATAAGCAATAAACCATATATATGTATATTTCATATATATATGAAAGGTTTTCATATAATATGCTGTGTCCCCTCACATTTCATTATTACAGTTTATATATGTCTCCATACCTCTTATAAGGGGTTGGTTTAACCTCCAGTTTGCTGGTAAAACTGAATTACTGTGTTGCAAAATAATGCATGTTGAATAAGTGTGGTACCAACAGGAAATGTCTGGACATCTCTGCTCTAACCCCCGAAAAAGATGAGGGCAGACTATATAAAGGTAAATGGCTAAAATATAAAAACAGTTCTAACAGTTGAGATTTACACCCTGGCCAGATCAGATAGCTCATGGGTATAACATGGGGTAATGGTTTCGCTGTGTAAATTCACTCCTGCCTGGTCACTGCATAGGCGAGATCTCTATTCCATGATTAGATTTGCAACTGATGAGTTTTGCATCTTGCTTCTACTGTGTGGCTGATTTCATGCTCAGGGCTTCCAAGTTTAAGTAGTCCAAGGTGAAAACTGGGGAGTTGGATGTCAAGGGTTTTCTAAACCCCTGGTGAGCCTTTCAGATCAGTGGCACCACATTAACCCCACTTTCTCCATATATACATTTGCTTCTACTGCTGTCTGGTCTTTTCAGCATCACTGTGTGAACAGGAAAGGGATTGCTAAGCAGGAGAATGAACAGTATGTTCTGGTGGTTGGTTGCTTAGCAAGCTCCTCTTATTGTCCTGGACTGCTGCTGGCACAGTGATGATTCAAATGGGCATCCAGTGGCCTTCTTTGGCTGTCACCTTCCCCAGGAAGTGCTTTCAAGGCCTTCGAAAGCACACGGAAATGGCATCTTGACAACTCCCCTCCAGCACGAGCAAACCCAGCTTCAGCAGCCTGTCCTATTTGCCTGTTTTGCTTTATTTCAAATCCCTGAAGGTACATATTGGGACCTGAACAATGAACTCATTCTTTTGCATCCTTCCCTTGGGTCAGTAAGATGCAGCCCTTCCCATTCATTGCATTTACAGTCCAGAATAAGTGACCCGGCCTCACACGTCACCACCTTGTCATGGCAACATTCCCACAACAATGTTTCCTGAAGTTTAGCTGGAATCCAGGGACAGAAAAAAACCTCCTCATGTTCGGAGCGGAAAACTTCAGAAATGACCAGAAGTTTTTGTAATTTCCATTCTAGCCCAGTGTAGAGAGCCCTCATCTTCTGTGCCTCATAGTTGTTCTCAAATGCTATCTTACTAAGCCCGCCCTCACATTTGTGGGCTTGACTTTTGCAGATTTTATTATGCGCAGATTTGACTAAAATGTTATTTCTAGGAATCTCTGAGTCCTCCAATGTGATTCTATGGTCCATTTCTATCAGAACTTGACCATACATTCACACGGGAGGATTTAGACATTCTTAGAGAGGTGTTCTCTCAGGTAAAAAGAAAAGATTTTTTTTAAAAAA